AGGATTCTATGATTCTATGAATTAAGTGATGAACACAAAACCCAGTGTTAATTCAGGGCCTTCTCAATTCATGACTTTCAAATGCTTAACTAGGGAACACTAACCTTTTTTTTTTTTTTAAACAGTTTTATTAAATAAAATTTATATTTAAAAAATAACTTAAGCCTCTGAATTTAGTTGGCTACATTCCACTATAGTGCTTTGTTCTGCCCAATGTATGCAGTAATTAAGGTCAATTCCTGTTTCCTGCTTTAATTAGTGCATATTTTGCATGGAGAAAAAATTGTGTTGGCACATGCAGTTGTAAAAATGGAAAAAATGTGCTAAATTGATGAGTTTTACCTGTGGGAGTACATTCATGTTTACTATCTATATAATTTTGACACCATATGTGTGAAAAGCACAGCCTACCTTCCTGGCATTGCATACATATTTTGGATTAAAAAAACCCCAACCTCTATTGAAAATAAGAGATAACTTTTTATATATATGCATACTGGTGTATATTAAATACAGCATCTTAGATAATGGCAGAAACTTTATTATGACCTTAGAATAGTAACAGCAATTTAGAATACCTTTTTTTTTCGTTTGTGCACGTCTTGAAATTTTAGCACTGAAATGAAGAGCACTCTCCCACTGGGCAGGTTTAATCCTCTAAATGATGGTTTGAATTAGATTTTGCAGACTATGAACTGAAAACACTGTCCATTAATGTTGTAAAACTCAGAATACAAGGCTAGTCTGTCACCAGTTTGCTACTTCAGACACACGATGACAGAGGATAACCAATAATAAGTGAAATTTTATTTTGTCCATACGAGTGTGTATTGCAGTTTGCAACAAATGATTTCCTGTTTAGAGTTCAAGCCCCGGGGGAGAGTCGGAAGAGAGGGACAATGTTTTTGTCAGTGCCACAAGGGGCTGGACAACTGGGGGGGAAAGAAATCAAACTCTTTTGCACTAGTCCAAAATAGGAGGTAGCTGGATTTCTTTTTCCCGTCCTTCAAGAAGCAAGACTGTTGCCAAGGACATTGTGTTTGAGGAGTGTAGCAGCTTCCAGAAAACAGAAGTATCGAAAGAAGTGGGGGAACCAAAGTGTGATGGTCACAGTGTTGGAGTTGGGAAATTGGAAAGGAGTGTTCTCTGAGTTAGGCTTAATTGTGCTGTTACTACAGCTGTACTGTAAATCAGTAAGTGAATAAAGATGGTTGGTGTCTTATAGGCCCATAAATGGTAATTTTATAAAATAATAAATGTAGAGTAATATTAAATGGAAAATTTTATGGTGTTTATGAGCTAAAGTGCGTGAGGAAGATGTACGATGTCTTTTACAGCATTTCAGTTGTATCTCATTTATTTTTGCTCAGGGTGGAATGTAAATACCTTTCTCATGTGAGGAAAGCAAGCAGTGTTGCTCACTGGTGAAATAATGCAGTGCATTTTTGTTACTGTTCAGGTGGACCCCGAGGTTTTTGCTGCACTACCTGCTGAGTTACAAGCAGAGCTGAAAGATGCATATGATCAAAGGCAAAGGCAATCAGAGCAGCAGCCTGCTAACGCTTTTGGTAAGTATATGTAGTTGCACAGGAGTTGTTTACTATTCAGAGAGAGTTAGGCTACCTTAAAGAACAAACTGGAAAATATAACTAAGGCTTCTATGAAGATGCCATGTGAAATCAAATTTCTGTATTTATTTTTGACAGTGTCAGTTACAACCAGCTGTGGTCTCATTTTGCAAACAGCTGCCTGGCTTTACTTAAATGGGTAATTAATTCAGTTTTGGGAGGACTGTGGCATTAAACTTATCCATGCCCATATGTTTGCAGAATGGAATCTAAACTTGATATGTCTTGTGATTAAAAGTATTGCATCTCACATACCTGGGGTAGTTAAAGTGCATTCAGATAGCGTTCCCGTGGCTCCCTGAAACCCATAGCACTGGTGGGGCTTCAGCAGCTAGAGATATGATACATCTGCCCTGTGTCTGGTAGTCAGGTGATTTTACTCTGAGCTGATAGCTCAGGTCTCCATTTTATAATCAGTAGAAAGAAGTAAGATCAATTCCCCTGAACATGCTTTCTCATAAAATAGGTTGGAAATGTCATTGGGTTTGTTGTCAGTTAAATACTGCATTATTAGACTGAAGCCTTGATTTCAGAGTCAGTGGACTAATGCAGATCTGTTAGTATGATGGAACAAGAGCCATTTCCTGATAAACTATGATAAAAGTTTATGGGGCTTTTTGCTGCTTGTTTTGCAGATATACACTGGTGAGAAGTCTTAGCAGGTACCTAGATGGGATGGTGCCGTGACTGAGGTGAAGCAGTTTGTCCAGGCAGCTTTAGATTCCACCAGCTGCTCATATTCAAGCACTGAAATACCTGATATTAAAAGACTTGTGAATAGTTGAGTATCCTGAGTACACTAATGTGTAGCAGTGCTTTTGAAATACTTAAAACATAGCCCACGTCTGGAATGGTGTGTGAGTGTTAGAGTGTTGCTTTATCTAGGTTATGTTCTCCTAACTGATCCATAGATTTTTATGGAGGATGCAGAGCCCCTTTTCACTGGAAAAGTATTAAATTTTAAATGTATTGACCACTGACTACTTCTGTGTTTTTCAGTGGCAAAAAATCCTTTGGTACACCTGAAGCATGCAACGGTGAAAAATAAGAAGAAAATCAGGAAAAAAAATCCAGTCAGTCCTGTAAAAAATATTCAGAGTCCTTTGAAAAACAAACTTGTTGGTAGCCCTGCAAAAACCATGGCGGCTATGTCTGGAAGCCCACAGAAGCTAATAGATGGTTTCTTGAAACAAGAAGGAACAGCTGCCCAGGTAATTTTAACAGTAGCAGCTTTGGGTGGAGCTGTGTCTGTTTCTTTAGACTGAGTCCTTGTTCACAAATGCAACTTTGTTTCTTTATTGGATTCTTTACCTAGGCACTTATCTCTGTGTGTGTGTGTGTATGATGTGACCATATTTGTCACACTGAGCATTATCAACTTTTGTGTTTGGAACAGCCAGGAGCAGTTCCATCAACTTCAGATTCTTCAGGCCCATCAGCTCTGCAGACTGAGCAGCAGCCTGGTTCGTTCAGGCCACAGGCACCCAACCTAGCTGGAGCTGTTGAGTTCAATGATGTGAAGTCACTGTTGAAAGAATGGATTACAACTATCTCAGGTAGGGGCTGTCGTGCAGGTGTTGGTCTGGCATGCATCACAAGGAAAACTACTTTTGTAGTAGGCTTTTTGTACTTTCTTCCTGCTTCCTTTCAGTGGTTATTTTTCACAGTAACCTTGAAGTTGTACTGCCTTGCAATCTTGAAGTAACTTGGTTCTTCCTACGCAGTTGTTATTCTGTGGCTTTGCCAGCTGCTGTTTCTTGTGTAACATCATTCAAAGCTACCTGCTTTTGCTCTTCAGCCCTTTCGTCAGGCCCTTGTCTTAGGTCTTGATGTTACTTGTGTAGGAGGTTTTCCATACCTTGTTCAGCACGTTACAACCACTAGGATGGAAGCTGTTGGAAGTCCCCTTCTATGAAGATAGTATTTTAGAGGCAAAGGATAGCGGGGGTTTTTTTTGAAAGAACTGCTGGAAGGCTGGAATAAAGTGCCAGAAGTATACCACCATTGCTGAAGTGTTGCTTGAATTTTAACATGATGTCAAACAGTGCCTTAGTATCTTGGGAAATGTGACCTGCAGGATCCTTTGTACCCTGGACTATTCTCCCAAGACTTTCAAAGCAGCCATTCCGTTCTAAATCCATCTTTCTTTTCCCCTGGGTTAATAATAGCTTGGTTGTCATTTGTTCTTCCTGAAGCAAAAGCAGAAGTTTATGAGACAGATTCTTTCAGGACCTTGCAGCCCTCTGACATGCAGAGCTTCAGATGCTGGGGGAGGTGTGGGAACACAGCAGTCCTGAGACTGGCCCCTGAGGCATCAGCACTGCAGAACTTCTGTTAGATTCCAATTATTTGAGGATTGTATTCTAAGTATACTTAGAGAAACTTTTTTTTTTTCTTATTACAGATCCTATGGAAGAAGACATTCTACAGGTTGTGAAGTATTGTACTGATCTAATAGAAGAAAAAGATTTGGAAAAGTTAGATCTGGTTGTTAAGTACATGAAAAGGTAGCTTAATTGCTTCTATTTGTGATATTTAGACTACTTCTGGTAGAACTTATGCACTAGATGTTTCAATGACTTCAATGTGAGGCCACAAGCCCAGTAGACATTCCATTAATGAGTGTAAACATTTTGAGCTTAAATTTTATTAAAAAATGGGGAGAGGGAGGGGAGAAGTTGGGCTGTTAAAATAAGTGGTAATTTGTGAAAAATTAAGAGTAGCATTTAATAGTGTTTGCAACAAAGTCTTCTGTTCCTAGACAAAGGGTCTAGGTTTTGTCAGCATTGCCCCTTTTCCTCATCCTTTCATTTATTGTGGCACCTTAGATCTTTCCTTTGCTTCATCTGATTTCATTTTGCTGTATCCAGCTACTGCCTCACCTCCAACCAGTTAAAATCACGTTTGTTACTTGGTTATTGTGCTCCTGTTACTCTCCCCATGAGTCAGGAGGCCCAAGTTCCATTTATGACTTGCTTACCAGCTGACACTTGGCTGTAGAGCTCAGCCTGAAGGGTTAGAGCTGGAAAATATTTATTTCACAGAACTGATGTACACCCAAAAGACTACAGCAATGTAAACGCCTCACCATGCTTTTGTACTATGGGATGCCTTTAAGCCCCAGAAAACGCAGGACACAGAGAGCAGTTAAGTGTTGTGGTGAATGCTGTGAGCACATGAAGCTCCTCAGCAGGCAGCTCTCCCCTTCCCGGTCCCTGTGCCTGAGCTCGGCACCGGCAGCAGTCTCTCCGGGGCCTGGGGAGGAGCGCAGGGCAGGGAATGGGGAGTGGGCTGCTGCACAGCTCTGCCTCTGACACTGCCCTTGGCCTGCCAAAGCTCTGGGTGCAGGGCCCTCGGCTCTCCTGCAGCAGTGATCCAGAAGGAGATCTTGAGAACACAGAGCTGCTTGGTGTTCCTTGAACACGTCCTTAATTTGCTTCTAGTAGCAGAGGAAGGGTAGAGGTAACTCACAGCTCTCTGTGGGCCTCCACGAGTTGGTTCTGTTTTTAGCAATAAACACTATAGTGTCCCTGGAACTTATTATTTAAGTGTCTTGGTCACCCTTGGCATTCACTGGAGGGAAGAAGCACAGCATCTGTGTCTTGGGATGAGGAAGGAAAGGTCAGGATCCAGCAGCTTGCCCTTTTGGGTTCTGCAGTGTGAAGGTGGTAGAAGGTCACAGCTTTGGTCACAGGTTTACAGCCACTGCAGAACACCAACACTGGCAGGTCGGTGTGACACCACCACACCAGAACTGCACCACTGACTGGCAGAGCAGCCGGTGGCACTGGGTGAGACATGGTGTACAGGAGCAGATGACAGGGCTCCACCAGGAGTTCACAGGGAACTGTCGTGCTCTTGTCTTCCACTAGGAAACCCCAAACCTACTGTAGAAAGGACTGGTGCTGTAATGGTAATTTTCTGCCTCTTCTTCCTGTTCCCCTTCAGGTTAATGCAGTCATCTGTGGAATCAGTTTGGAACATGGCATTTGACTTCATTCTTGACAATGTTCAGGTAGTTTTACAACAAACTTACGGAAGCACATTAAAAGTTATCTGAACTTGTAGTAAGGAGCTTGATGAGAGCCTGGAGCCCTCTGCTAGCTGTGCCATAAGTGCTTGTGAGGTATTTGCAAAGTGCATGATAGTAATGCCCTGAGTTTTTATAATTTCAAATTTCTTTTTAAACAACAAAGTGTTTTGTACATTTCTTTTCAGAAAGTGCCAAATTTGTCAGTATTGCATGTAAATAATTGTGTTAAAATTCTTTTATTGTAGTATAGAATCTATTTACAAAATGTTTGTTTATAAAGTTTTATGGATTTTTACAGTGAAGTGTTTACAGTTGTTTAATAAAGAACTGTATGTATATTTTTGTACTGATTCTATTTTGTGATGCTTCAGTTTGAATGTCGCAGACCCCTTACTAGCTTTGATGTCGTGTCAGTCATGCACGCTCCCCTGCCTGTGCTTTGTTTCATTCCCCGCTGACAGCAACCACAGATTTTAAGCCCAGGGAAGAATTTCAGCTCATTTTTGGGTTCATCCTTCAGACAGCGGCTGCTCCCACAGCCCGCGCGGCGCCGGCCGGGGCGGGGGTGCTACGTGTGCTCGTGGGGCCCAGGAGCAGGCACCCCAAAGGAGCGCTGCAGAGGAGCCAGGCCGGAGCTGACATACCCGAGTCCTCGGGGTCTCCTGCTCAGGAGGAGCCACGTTCCCATCTAACACCCCGTGCTTCTCCCCAGCCTGGGACACGCCTCTCCTTCCCACAGCGGGTCACAGCAGGAACGCGTCCCCGCTCTCTCTCCCTGGCTGTGGGAGGGAGGGAACGCACGCGTGTGGCGCTGCCGTTTGTGCTTTGGGCCAGTCTGCTGTTTCCAGACATACACCAGCCTCACACAGTTCTGTTTGGCCCAGTACATTGAAGCAAAGCTGTTCAGGGGCCTGGAAAGAAGGAAGACCACCTGACGAAAACCCAGGTGGTAAGGAAAACCCTGTGCTATCAAGTGAGAGGGCACAAGACAACAGGCACTAACCAACAGGCTTGCCCACAGGAGTTGTGCATTGTCCGTCAGTGGTGATGCTTAAAACCTGACTGCCTGAAGTCCTGGGCAACCTGCTCTGACTGCCCCTACCCTGAGCAGAGAGGTTCTAGTCTGGGTCTTTCAGAGCCCCTTTTTAGGTGCTGCTTTTGGAGCTGCCTTCTCCCTTTTTCTCCCCCTTTAAGAAAATGAGCAAGCTAAGGAACTGTTCACATCCATGAAGATGATGGTTGAAATTCAAACAAGGTTTCAGGTACACAGCTCTGGTTCTGCAACTGGTAAAGACATACTTAAAACTAGCACCTTATTTCCAAAAAAATGGGACTGAAAAGCATCACTTAGCTGAGTACAGCTCCTTAGTGGCTTTCTCTCTTTGTGATCCTTGCTTCAATCCCTTAAATGTTATATTCAAAAGTTACCTGCTTCCTTAAAGCCTTTCAAGGGAGGTATTTCACAGGCTCCACAGCAGCATCCTGTAAAACTAGTACAATCCTTTTCCCAGAGTTTTTACCTGGGGAAGAACACACTTCCACCACCGAGGAACACATCAGGAATGTATCAAGACCATGATGTTTGACATCTGGGTTCTTCAGTTAGCTTCCTTTATTAGTGTAGTTTTCATGATTGCATAGTTTGCAAAATAAAATGGTAACAATTCAATGCAGTCTCTTCACTGTGACCATTCTACTCTAAGCCACACAACCAGTGATGTGAATTTGCACCACACACCAGCCATAGTGTAAAGGACCTTTTCAACGGCAAGTTTAAAGTCTAGCAAACAAAAAGGTAAGCTAAAAGTTCCATTTCCTTGGTAATGGTTTCTGCACGGTCCAAATTCTAAAATTCGTATTTTTTTCCAACAAAAGAGTAATCTAAGTGACAGAAGAAATTTGACCAAACTGCTTATTGCAAGTTAAATTGTTGTAAATATTTTAAATGCTGAAAATCTCAGCTCCATGAAAGATCATTATCAATTTTGTGCTGTTTAGTGCTTCTCAACACGAGCTGTAAGTTACCTCAGGAGAGCACCTGACAGTGGTACACTGAGCTGTCCTCCTCAGCAGGGAGCCACAGGGGATTAGACTGACTGCTGGTCATTACAGGCACCAGCCAAACACCTTTTGAGCTGGTTCAGTCCCACCCCTCAGATGACTTGACAACTTTGACGCTGCATCCGAAGCCACCACTCACTTGCAGACAACCCTTCTGCAGGCACTTACCACAGCTCCGAGCAGCAGCTGGAGAAGAGAAGCCACCTCTGAACTCCCAGCAGCACCTCTGGGAACTGTGACTTGCTAAATGCTCAGAGCCTGCAGCCCCGGTGCTTCGGGTGCACCGTACGAGACAGGAGAGGAAGGAAGAGCTCCTGCTTAGCCAAGCACAGGGAGGCAAACCTCCCCCGGCACCTCCCTGTCCATCACAGCTCAGAGTGACACCTGTTTACTGAAGCAAACTGTGAAACAAATGGGCCACCATGTCCAGCTCCTTTATTTGCGGCTCTGCGTTATAATGATTACAGGTCGACTTCCATGAACTGTACAAGCAGTAAAGGATGGCCAGCTATGCTTTACATCATTGTTTCACACAAAGCAAATACAGAAATATCCAATTGCCTAATTTCCTATTTAAAAAAATTTCTATAGGCACGAAGCAGAAGAATGTCGGAAAAGAGAGTGAAGGGAAGAGGTACGCATAAATAAAGAAATACTTCTTACATCAAAAAATGTCCCAGGAATCACAAAGTCTGCAGAAGCTTGGTTAATCAAATACTGCAGTACTGATCTCATCAGTATAAAAGTGAAAGAGCTTTAGTTCTGTAATAAAAATTCAATTTATTTCATTTTATTTTGGAGAGAGGGAGAGGAAAAAGGGTGGAAGGAAGGTGTGAGAGAAGGAAGGGCAAACTTTAAAACAGCAGCCAGTATTAGGAAGGGCAGGAGGAGAGGTGAACAGGCACATTGGAACCATGGGAACATGTAAATTGACCACTGTCAAACCAGTGTAAATTTCTTGGTTTCTCATGGAAAACATTTTTATCCACATATTTTCCTCCCAAACATATATCCAACACTGTCTTCAATATATGACTTTGTTGGTAACTTTTGAACAGGAATAGCACATTCATTCCTGCCTCCAAGTTGCTGTGAAAAGTTATCTAGATGATTTCAAACACTTTCTTCAGCTCTACGATAAGCTGCCAGTCAGACTTCTGCATTTCATCCCTGAACCAGTCCTTCAGAGCATCGATGGACTGACGGCTGATCTGCAACACACAAGACAAGCCCATCAGAAACATGCACATGAACGAAGGCAGCTTCTAGAGCACTGGGAGCAATTAACCTGAAAATGGGCACCGGCTTGCTCAGCGGGGAAGCTGCTTCTGCTCCCAGTTCTGCTGCTGATCTGCTGCACGATCCGTCCCCTTCATTTCCCTTTTCTCCTCACACCCCTTACCTGGGCTTCAGAGGCCACTGCAGCCCAGACCACCTCGTGCCTCGTGGAGCAAGGCAAGGGCTCTGCTGAGAGGAGCTCTGGCTTCCACCAGGGCCCACAGCAGCAGCACCACCTCCCAGTCCTGTACCTCCCTCTGACGGAGAGCTGCTCACCCCTTTTCTGGGTGTGTGCCCCCAGCATGCGTGTGGCAGGGTTTGTCTTACAACATGGTAACTACAGCAGTTAGGAGCCTGGAGAACTGTGGCTTTGCTTATGACCCAGCAAGGGGTCATCTCCTCACCTAGGCCTGGCGTTCCAGAATCAGTTTACTGCACGATTCCAGAGCTAGGCAAACAACCAGGCTGCAATGCCAGGGGGGCTGTGAGGCTGCTCCGAGCAGCAGCTGCACACCACGGACACACACAGCTCCTCGGCTGTGCTGCCCCCAGGGGAGGGAGCTGCGAGGTGCTCCAGCTGCAGCCCACCACTCCCTCGCTCCTCCCCAGGGGCACCACTACAAACCTCCAGCACAGCTCTGGAGAAACACAGCTGCACAACACCACACGTGAACCTTTTCAAATGTCTGTTGGTCTCTGGTGGAAGGTTCCTAGTGTGTGTTCTTCAGGCCCCACGCAACATTTCCACTCCAGGTGAGCTACCACTGCATGACCAGCCCTCTCCCAAAACGCCGATTGCTTTTACCTTACTGACGAGGATATCTGTTGCTTCAAAATGTCGTCCATACATTTTAGGTGATTCACCAGGAATAGGTTCTATTTTAACACATACTTCTTGGCCCTTTTTTGCCACCTCCACTGGTTTGTGGTTAATTTCAATACTCGTAACTATTCCAATGTCAACGAACTGCAATGCAATGGAGAAGCGGCGTGAGCGCCCGCGGGAGCTCTGCCCGGGCAGGTCCCTGCGCTCCAGACTCGCCGGCACGTGGTGCTGCCGGGGCCCCACCTCGCAACTGGGGAGGCAGAGGAGCTGCCCTGCCAGCACCACGCCCCCCCAGCCACAGCCCACCTGGGGCACAATCTGTTCTTCCCTCACCTCTCCCCACACGGGCTACCAGAAGGACACCCTTGCTCATCACTTTATACCACACAACAGGGAAATTGCACTGGGGCAGAGGAGAGGCTGACTGGCAGACACCCTCCAGCCATGCCCTGCTGCAGGGCTCAGCTCTGTTCCAGCAGATCACCTGGAAGGAGACTTCATCTGAAAGTCTGAATCTCCCACCAAAACTCTGCCTGCTGGCACCCAATTCCTGAGGTGGCATCCCAGGAACCCCCGCGTAGGTGAAACATCCACGGGGAAGAGGCCCCCACTTACGTTTTTGCTAGGTACACACATGGGAGTCCCCTGCTTCACCTGGCCGGCCTCCACAACGACACCCATCACTATTGGGTCACGAGAGTTGAAAATGAACTGAGGGAGTATTTTCATCTTGCAAGGAAACACTGCTATATGCCTGGAAAGTGACAAAGAAAAGGCATTTTGAAACAGATCCTGGGACGGTGTACGCAGCAGTGGCAGTCCTACCTTCTCCCACAAATCTTGGGCATTTATTCTAGGAGTGTCCCTTGGGAAGAAATCAAGCAGGAAAAAAATTCTTCCCCAATCTTGCTAATTCTAGTCAGTACTTGACCTTCAAGAACTATAGGGAGGAATAATCAAGCATGGATTTCATTTTGACTGGCTTGGGCAGTCAGCTAAAACCAAGATGGAAGAAATTGTGATTTTGCAGTATAATTACAGTCTCAGAAGAGCACAGGAATAGAAATATTACTGCCTCAACCCATTACAGGCACTCTAAAAATTCAAGATTTTTGTTTGTAGAGTGAACAACTATTTTTAAATGCTGAGGTATACAAACTGAAATTGGGATCAATATTTAATTAAACAGACTTCCATTTCTTTTTCTCTGTCCTTACTTTACTAAGGACCAGCCAATGACACAGATTCAAAAAATTCATTGTGGGTCCCTGTAAATTCTTAAATGATTGCATATTCATGTTACTGCAGTCAGAATTAAGCCCTGTACACTGGAATTGTATAAATACAAAGCAATGTAATCCATATCCCTTTAGTTTTCTTAACCCTGCAAGATTAACCCAATCTGTCACAAACCAGAAACAGAAGCCAAGTACACAAAGCAAACGTTAGCAAGGACATGATAATATTAGCTGCTTCTAGTAACCCCTTCAGAACTCTCACCTGACTAAGCCTAGTGCAGATGTAAACAATTAGACTGGAATTATTATCCTATCCTCTTCCTGCTTCCCTTCCTTCCCATTATATCTATATGCTAAATAATATGAAAATAAGAAATGTAATCCAATTTCACTTATAACAAAACAATTAAGAGACACCTATTTGTGAAGCATCCAGAACAGGATTCCTCTTACTTACTTGAATTCCTCTTGTTTCTGTTTCTTGTAGTCTTGTCTATATTTTGTGAAGGCATCAAATAAGTGATAAATTATTTCAGCACTAAAAATTCGAACTCCTAAGCTATCAGCCATCTCCTGTGCATCACGTTCAATCCTCACATCAAATGCTAGGATGACTGCATACCTGGAAGCAAAAGGAAGCCAAATGTTTTACCAGACAGACGACAGAACGAGAGCTCAGGAGGGGCTGGGACACCACCCTGCACCTATCAGCGTAGTGAAGTAAGGGAGTCACTTACTGCGGGTCATGCTCCAACATGACTGATGCCTTCATAACGTCCTTCTTATGGACAGGACCTATATTAATTCCTGAATACTGGTGAAAGGGAAAGACACAAATCAGTCACTCATCTTGCCCAGTCAAAAGGAAACAGTTACCACCAAAAAAGGAGCAACAGGATCAGAGAGAGGACAGGAGCACTTACTGGCACTTCCGATGTTTTAAGAAATTCAAGTAATGCTTCTAAAGAACCTAGAGTAGAAGCCTGGACATAAACACCTTTCTCTTCCAACTTGATTGCATTCAGGGTTTGCTTCAGCTCATGTATTAGTTCATCCTTACAGAAAAAAGAGAGCAAGTTTTAGTTCTGATGCTCTTTAAGCCTCAGGGTACAAAGTCTTTCTGCTCATGAGCTAGGAAGGATTCTGAATGCACGTAGGCTCAGGTACAAAACAGGGGGTGCCAGAGCAGCAAGTAAAAAACCCCAAACTTTTAAGAGCCCCTGCCTCTTAAACCCAAACTATTTTCTGTGACAGAGGAAGAGCTGTTGCCAGTTACTTTAAGCGCTCACATGTACTAGTACACTTGACATGTATGCTCGTATGTATGTTCCTGACCTTGGAAAACAGGAGCATCTCCTTTCAATTTTGGCTTTGAGATAGCTACATTCTCTTCCTCTGATGTTTCTGAAGTGTCAGTCACGAAATAAGCTTGCTACAGAAGTCTTAAATTGGCTTTGCAATTACAATAGTTTGAAGAACTCCAGTAATAGATACATACCTAATTTAATCAAATTATATGCATAAATGACTACAAATACCAAATCAGTGATTAGCATGTAGTCAAACCATGCTACGATTCTTGTTTTCAAACACTATTCTACCAGCAGAGACACCCCAGCAAAACATCAGTGAAAAGCTGAGGGTCAAGACCCCAAGAACATCACCACACTAACGCTTCACATGGACACGGCCACAGCACGTCAATGTAAGTTCTTAGAGGCAATCAGAAGAGCAAGTCAGTGGTACACTGAGCTCGCAACATCTGAATGAGTTTCATCACCAGACAACTCAGTTACCTTCAGTTTAAGTCTCTTATTTCAGTATTAGCCATCTCACCTTGAGAACTGGGACTTCATCTTCTTTATACGCTACAAGCAATGGCAAACCAGCCAGTGTTTTCTCCAGATCTTTCCCAAGAATCTTCACACCCTGAGCAGCAACAACCTCTTTGTGCTTTTCATACTGGTTCTGAAAAGGAGAACAAACACTGGTAAAGTTCACACGGATGCTGCGTGGCCACACGAAGTAGTGCTGAGCAGATAGAGAACTTGGCACCAACAAGCAGACCAGAGAGCGGGACAGCAAAGCCCAGCAGATCCCATCTATCACCAGTGATTTTCTCTGCTTTGCATTTGCAGGTTTGAGTCTGCACATTCCTCTCCCTTCAGATACCCCAAAACCCCTGCTGAGGCGGGCAGGGCAGGGGGAATCGTCTGGAAATGGAGAAGGTGGACAAAAAGGAGTATACACTAGAGAAGAACAAGCAGTGCTAGGGAGCTGCTCAGTTAACAAAAAACAAACCAACAACAAACCAACCCAAACAAATGACACATTCATCCCCACCAGGAAGCAAGAGGAAGATGCCGACAGCTCAACTAAAGCACTAAAGCTTTGCTGGCAGGGCCCAATGCTGTGTGGGAAGAGCTGCCTCATTCTCCCATGGAAGGCCTCCCACTCAGCCTTCTCATGGACACAGTTCCATGTTTGGTTTCCCAGGTGCTCCTCCCCACCCAACAGAGCCTCAAAGATCTCTCCACACCAAGGGCACAGCTCTAATACATCACAGAAGGTTATTTCTGAAGACTTTAAATCAGTGTTGGAGGGATTTTCTGGTTTGCTTCATTTCTTTTGTTTAGGAGATGTCTCATCCTTTTCTTGAAACTGCAAGGGAATTTCCTTCTTCAGTAAGCACTCCGTTCCTGCAAGCCTTCATTCTTTAGTCCTCCACCCCAAAATCTGTGTCTCTTTTCAAGGATGACAGTTTCCCATGGACAGGCTGAATTGAAACGTATCCTTATTGTCTGCTTAGAAGTAAAACCAGCTCCCCTAGATCCACTTCCCTAGCTAAAGGTTCTCAGATCAAGTATTCTTCCTCACAGTGCTGGTACCCTATAATCCATCTCCCCCTGAAGTGCAGAAAAGCACCTGAAGATCTTGATGGTAACTGTTATGTTGCTATTCAGTCCCACAAAAAAACTTCAGTCCTGGAACAGTTTCACAGATCAGTTTATCTTCTGCTTTAAATAGAGGGAAGCAAAGAGACAGCAACACTTTCAATTCACTCCTCATGGTACCATAATACATTCAAGAGCTTCCAGCGACGCAGAGGACATGAGCTCACCGCGAAGGTGCAGCTCCCCTTGGCGCCCCCGGCCGTGCTCAGGTCAGGAGCGTACAGCCGCAGGCAGGGCAGGACGCCCCAGGCGCCCACGGCCCTGCGCACGCGTGGGGTGTGGGGCTCCCCTCTCCCGGCCCCAGGCGGGCCAAGCTGCTCCCGGGTCCCACCTCAGCACCAACGCTGCTCCCTTCAGCACCTCCCAGGCCACAGCAGCCTCACAACAGAGGATCACCACGGCAAAGTAAGAACAGCAGAGGCAAGCCAGGCCCCAACAGTCTGACTGACCACTGGAATAATCTCCTCAGGGAAGTGGGGTCCCAAATACTGGACACACAACGCAGCTGGGCAGGATGCTGGGCCATCTTATGTATTACACAGACCATGCTTCTCCCAAGAAAGGTTGGACCAGATGATCCTTGAGGTCCCTTCCAGCCCGGTATTCTATGATTCTGTGACTTATTAGAACGACTTACTGAAGTGGGCAGGAAGGGACCAGATTAAGCAGTAAGGCCTGGAGTGGCCTGCAGGGACACAGACCTTCAGTGAAGCGACACAAACCACAATTGTTACAGCCTTAGATTAGGACCCCACTACCAGTTTTCTGCCTCTGAGCCAAACCTTTAAGGCCTGGCCTATTACATTCACCTTGGTTTTCTCTATGGTTTTCTTCACCTTATGATCTGTGCAGACGCTTATTTGTTCCTTTTAGACAGGTAAAGTCACAACAGCTCTTTTCATCATCTTTTAATTGTATGTGTTAATATGGATGCAAGTATTGATGTATTCGTAGTCTTTCATTCCTGTGTGCCTCCTCTTCCTTTCATGGAAAGCAACAGAGGCAGGATCTCAAATTCACTCTCTCTCCCCAGTCTGTTACGACTGGGGCAGCAAATTCTTCCAAAAAACAACTAAAGGCTGCAGATTCTGCAGAGATCCTGGTCATCACCACTCACCAACTACTCCCAGAAACTCACTTGTTCACCTTCTCAAATCTATGTGATTTTTGTTATTAAAAATACTACTTTTACTAATAATACATACTTTAACTCAGCAGTCCCTGTACTATCCCACTCCAATTTCCACTGAAGATGGGTAACTCCCTCTCACAGAGCCACATGCTTGAAGCCCTTGAAGCCCTGGCATCATCTTAAGCCTCACTGCAAGACAACTCCTCGATCCTCCTCTTTGCCACTGACAGCCACACCAACAGCTACAGACACATACACTCACCAAAACACTGGATGGATGTGCACTGTCTCGCCCTTTAAGTCCTCCTTAGACACTCCTAACATGGCTGCACACTGCTACATGCTCATGTTTTATAAATTTTGATTTTTTTTTTTTCTCCCCCCAGTTCTAAAATCTTCCCTAAATGTCAATACACAAACCAGTTTCCATACCTTAACTCGTAGCTCCTTCATAGGAGGAGGCAGCAGAAGGCCTCTAATCTGAGTTACTATAGGACCTTCTACCCCTGGAACAATAATGGTGTCTCCTTCCTTCAGGCGCCCGTTAATCAGGATAACATCTATGGTAGTGCCCATGCCTGGCAGTGCTTTCACCTGAATGAGCAGGGAGGAAAGAAAAAAAGATTACTCCCTGTTTAAGCACTTCAAACACAACTTTCTTTACCAGGAAGAAAGGGGCAGGGAAGGGAGAGAGTTCCAGATGAGTTTCGAAGAACAGCTGCTGAATTACCTCCATGACTTGAGCTCTCAGCTCCTGACACTCAGCCAGCCTCTTGGTCAGCATGGTTTGTGTCAGCTCCACGAGGAGAGCTATCAGGCTGCCCATGCCATCCCCCGTGTGGGCAGAGGTAGGTACAAGGGAAACAAAAGTGCGGGGATCCTTGTTCTCATAGTACAAGGCAGCGTTCAAGCCCTGGAATCAGGATTAACAGTTATACAGGGAAAAACATACACACATCAGTATTAACAGTAACATTCAACCTCAGGCAATTACTATAGAGCACTCTTTAAATTCCAGTTTAAAAAAAAAATATTGCTACTGGCAGTAAGCTGTAGAACATGAAGCCTGGACCCCCACATGGAAGCAGTGTGGGATAATTCCACAAAACCAATTACCACATCTAGCTTCTAGACAGCACTGTATGTCACTGGAGTGATTCGTGCCCTGCCAGCCTGCAAGGGACCAAGAGGCAGATGGGATCCTCTCAGGCAATTCCCAAAGAGACAAAGAATAAGGACAAGAATCTTTGCTATTCATGACTCCACTGACCACACACAGCAGCCAGCTGCTACTATTCTTTTACAAACTAGCACTCCAAGGGTGGAGCAGTTAAGAGATTAATTTAACAGCAAAGTTTGGTTTGTGAGAGGTAAACACCACTGTGTCAGAAAAGATGTGATAGTTTTCTTGGTATTCCAAGTTGGTTTGTGGAAACAAAAAAAACCCAACAAAACCACACCTGCAAACCACACCACCCACTCACTCCCCTTATTATCACTTCTGTTGGCCAAAACCCTTGAACATTTCAGCCCACCTGTTTTGCAAATTCCACAATGATAGCTTTTGCACGTTCTTCAAACTCATCTTTCGTATTCTTTTTCTGCTTCTTTAGGGTGACAGCTACATCTGTATCTGGGCTTTTTTTCCAGTCATACAACCTATCGATCTAGAGAATATAGTAATATGTCCTTTAGTAAGCTGCATAAGATGACATCTTTATGCTTATGCCACATCATCTGTGATAAATACTTCACTAGGCAACACAGCTAGACATCTACTTGCTCCAGTAATCAAATTAAATCTCTTTGCTTTATCACCTGTATTTACCTCTGTTCATCTGTTTACCCAGTGTCAGACTATTTTATGGTAGCAATCCTACTTCAGGTTCTATGAATTCAAGCTTAATGATCTAGGTTCATATGGGAAAAAATTAAGTTAATTACACCAAGTTTAAGGTAGAACATTCAAAAGAAAGAGACCCATGTACAGCTTCACCTACACAAAAAAAAAAAAGTTTAAAACCACAATGAAGATGTAGAGGTTTTCCTGAAAAGAAGCTGCATTCATTTTACACTGAACTTTTCAAACTGATTGGTGAACTTGTACCCTGTCCCATGTTGCTACAGAGAAAGGATCACAAGGGGCTGTTCAAAAGACAACTGCGTACTTCCAAAATACTTCTTGAGTTCTCCCACCAGGACAGATTTAGTTTGAGCAACTACTACATTTCCTGTACAAATTACAACTGTATCTTTAGAAAATGAATTATAACCTGGTTAGATGATACACCTATAACCTATATTTAATCTGACCCACCGTAGGCCTTAACAACTCTCCAGCCAATAGTTTTTATAAAAAGCAGCTCTTCTCAACAATGAGATAATGGCCTCCTCAGTTCCAACATGCTTCAACCTCAAAGCACATTTCATTTTTCAAAGTATACTGCAATTTTCACACTGCACACAAATACCTTTCTGTAAGTTCTCTGTCAGCACATCAGAGAGCATCCAAAGTCACTGGACATGAGTACTTTCCTTATTATAATACACAGAAGTAATCAAACAGCTGGCATTTCTCATACACAGGATTTCTAAAAACAAGGCTGAAAATAAGCTCTGCTATATGAGATCATAAAGCCAGCTGAAACACTTCCCACTAGTGATCTACATTACTGTTCCATGAGCTTAAAAAAGCCAGCTTGTCTTCAAGGCAAACTAACAACTATCAGCAGCTACAATAAAGTAAGACTTTTCAAGACAAAGCCTGTCTTTTGATTTTATCAGAAAAGGCACACAAATACATGTAAGTAGATGCAAGAAAGAAACAACAGAAACACAATTCCCAGAAGAATGAACAGATACAGAAGTTGCATAAGGTAAAGACACTTATCAGTAAGGACTCTGAGAAGAACTGAGAGATGATCCTGCAAAAGTGTGTTAAGGACATGAAAGATACAACAGAGAGGACCAAGAACCACTGCTTCAGACTTAACATGAACAATGCCAGTCCACAGAAGAAAACATCAAATTGTCAGATGCCAAAAACACATTAGAGTAGAAAAGCACAATATTACAGTAAAAAGCTGTCTTACCTTGTTGAGAGCTACTATAAAGGGGCACTTCTTTGATTTTAACAGATTTATTGATTCAATTGTCTGTGGCTCCAAACCATGCATGATGTCAACTACAAGTATAGCAATATCACAAAGTGAGCTTCCTCTGTTTCTTAGATTGCTGTGTAATTAAAAGAGGAAAAACAAAAAAAACACCACACAAACAGAATCAGTCGTGTTTTTTATTAAAATTTTGTTTCTACAATAAATACAATGCCAAACTTAATTGACCAACAAAAAGCTAATGCTGATCAAGTATTTTTTCCTCAAAAAAAGTAAACTGGATCAAAAAATATTCAAATCACGCTGTGTAAAACCCATTTAATATATTGGAGTATGTGTAAGCAAAACTAAGAAACCATAATAATAGGAAAATTCTTGGGAGAATAATATGTTTTTGAAAAGTTAAGATATATTCTGATTTTTGAGTGAGAACTGAGATAGCTGCACTGAAAGATGAGTGCAAAATCTGAACAAGACAGTTTATTATATGATACTACATAAACACCAAGATTATCAGATATCTTTGGTGCCAAAAAAAACTGGCTTGAAGATGAACAGCTGTGAGTGGCATGATGGCAAGAACTGATGAGAGCATCACCAACTGCCCTAAGACCTGACATTTCAACACCTGCAGGGGTTTATGTTTAAGGATGTCACAGCTGAGTCTTAATCCTTCTGCTGGGGGATTTCACCCAAGTGCTACCTCAGTGAGCACACTTGTGCACACCAGCTTTCAAACTTAAAAGTTGTTCCTAGACAGCACGTGATCTCTGCTAAGACTCAGCTGACTTGTGCAACTGGCAACTACCAGTCTTATGAACTCAGTTACCTTAATTGGGACACTATGGATTGAAGGCTAGGACAGACATTCCCATTTTTCACAGCAGAGTACTTAAGCCACCTGAAATCCTCACCTTTTCTCCTCCATCTAGCTTCCTGCTCCCATCTTTCCTCTTACACTAACTATTAATTTAAAAATTATTTACATGTTTTTTTCAGATATTTCTGGCTCAGTTGGCACAAAGACAAAAAACTTAATCACATAAAAAAGGCCAGCAATTAACCAGATATAAAAGGAACTTGCAAACTAAGCAAATCCACTTATTTCTCTACTTTAAGGGGTCTGAGGTTGGTTTGGTTTTTTTTGTTTGTTTGTTTGTTTTTGGTTTTTTTTTTTTGTTTGTTTGTTTGTTTGTTGTTTTTTTGTTTTGTTTTGTTTTGTTTTGTTTTTGTTTTTGGTGGTTTTTTTTGTTTTTTTTAAAGACCTAGCACTTTGTTAAAAATACATCCAGACACTTCAGCCAACACTTCTGGGAAGGACTATATTGTGAAAAAGCATTACCTGAAAGACTCATGTCCTGGAGTGTCAATTATCAGCATGCCTGGGATTTTTATGTTCTCTCTGTCAAACTAACATTTCACAGTATTAGTCATCTTGTAAAGATCTCACAAGAAGAAAAAATAAAACTTAAGAGCTGGCAGCATTACTGACAGCCTTTATTTCAAAAGTGCAGATATGTATTTTAAAAAAAGGCCAGTACTCTCCATAAACCAAATCAAAGTTCATTTCAATATTTTAAAAATAATTTAGAAAAAGATGCAGCACATTCCCCTAGATATCAAGTGGTCATAAGTTCAGCTAAAATCTGTAAGACAAGGCAGTCCACAGAGGGAGGGAAAAAAATAGTTCAGGCAAGTGAGACTTATCCATTTCCTCCTCTCCACAGGCTTTACCTTTTTAACTGAGTAAAATATTGGAAAGCCATTATTAGCAAGGTTTTTCAGTCAGCTGCTGCTGCAAGCAAAATAGGATATAGCACCCAAAAAGCAACACAGAACAGTTACTCTCTGCAGCATAAGAAAAATTTCTCACCCAAGAATGGGCTCGATTTCAGCACACATAGTAAAAAAATAAATTTAGCTAGAAAATACACTCAGTAAGTTTCAAAAGTCTTAACTGACAATCAAAAGACTGACAAAGAAGCAGTCTGTGTACACATGTACTGTCCAGAACAAAGCAAGCACTATTTGTGTATTTTTCTGAAGAAGTGGCAACACATTGCTTGAAACCAAATGTATTCAACCAAAAAGAAATTAAATGAGACAGAGGGGGAAGGATAGGAATTAAAAAACAATCAACCCACTTGAGATGGGGGAGGGGACAGCTGCCTTTGTCAGGAAATCTCACAAGGCCTTAACTAGTTTATATTTCATACTTTTTTAAGAAACAATCTCTGAAGTGCTCCAACTTACATTTTTCACCATCTTAGTTTGCTCATTAATAGCTTCAAGAGGAACATTAGTTGCTCCAATCTGCTGAGTGATTCCACCAGCTTCACTGTCCTGCACATGAGTGTGGCGGAGCTAAAGATAAAAAAAGACCAGAAATATTTACATGTAAGAGACTCAAGTCATCTCTTTGAGTACACTTTAACTCTGTTTTCAATTAAAAAAAAAAAATCCCCAACATGCATAAACAAGATGCACAAGGCAGTGCCTTCACATTCCACATCTTACCTTATCTAAAATTTTAGTCTTGCCGGTGTCTACATGCCCCAGGACACAGATGACTGGTGCTCTGAGCTTCTCAGTGTTCATATTTTTGCTGTTTTCAGCTCGTCGCTTCTATGGAAAATACACAAAAATGGGTAAGTATAAGCCAAAAACTACAGCTCTCCTCTTGACTTGACTACATACATAAAACAGTTAACTGTGGGATTTAAATTTTCAAGACAATTCAAAGCCTGTCATCTCTCTTTCAGCAAATCAAAAATTTACAACTAACAGTTAAGTTTTTGGTTTGTTTTGGTTACAGTCTAGAAGGACAAGTTATTATATCCACTAGCATGCAGCTTTGTTGATGGTACCTTCTGAAGAAGTTTCTTAGTTAAGTTACCAGAGCACATCAGCAGCCACAAAAATGCTCAAGTTTAGAAATACATGTTTTTAAACTCTGATACATCTGTAAAGGATAAAAGCCTCCATCTCCAGGAGGGGGAGAGGTGGAAGGGAACAACACTGAAGTGTACATTCTTTGTGATCAGGTTTGTCTAAAAATCAAATGCATCACCTTCAGACAAAATCTGGTATCTTTTCCTTAACTAACCAAATTTCTGGACCTTCCAAATTATTACTCATGACACAGCCACCATTTTGTCAAAGACAGTCAGAAGGCTTTTCAGTGAACTGGATTTTAAGTTGTTTCTTATGCAACACAACCAAAGCTGTATCTCAGCACCTCGATCCTCCGTTTAGCTTTGTCGTAGGCTCGCTCTTCCTTAGTGCGGTCGTCGTCCGAGTCGTACTCCGAATCAGAGCTGATCTCCTTGCTCTGCTTTTTTTCCACAGATTGTTTTCCAATAGCTTGGGAGTCTGCCTCTCTCTCATCTGAAGTCTTTTCATCCTCTTCTTCACTCCCTTCACTGTCTTCAGATTCTTCACTCTCCTCTTCCTCTTCTTCCTCATCTTCTTCCTCCTCCTCTTCCTCATCCACTTCATTTTGTTCTTTGACTTCAATGTGGACAGGTTTGCTCTCTGTCAAAAAAAAAATATAAAATTTTCTATTAAATTCACACTTGTGGGGGAGAGGGCAACAAAAAAAACCAATCAGACTACTACAGAAGAGTGAGGACAGCGAGTAAGTTTTCCTCCAGAAGTGCTAGTCAAGATCAGTGTTCATCTTCCAATGTCAACAACGCAGCAAGTGTTCCATGTTCAGAGCTGCCGACCTGTGTTGAGAACCTGTGCAAGCAGAGTGAGGTTGGTGGGGGGGGGGAGCAATGACATTGTCAGCACACACTTGACATCATTTACAATCTTCAGATGAAGTGACATTCTTTAAAGCTGTGTGCACTTCAGAAAGGAATAAACACACTAACATCTTTAAACAGAAAGCAAAAATACTCCCAAATTCAACAAAATACAGATTGTATGTATTACTAATCAGGAATGCACAATTAAGCAGAAGTAACAAACAGTCTCTTCTTTACCTTTAAAAAAAAAATCTCATTGTAAGGTTTTCCTAGGTTATTCAGAGATTAGTATTTTTCAGAGTTGCTTCAGTAAACAAGAAGAACTATCAAAAAGCAATTTTCTTTCTTAGAAAGGGATGTGACATGCTCCCCAGAACAGCAGCGACAGACTAAACCAGACTTGCAAGAAAGTGAGCAGCCCTCAGTACTCAAAGCAGAACAGTGCAGCACCCCAGGAACACACACTTGTGCTGAAACAACGCCCATGCTGCTGTACGCATGCATATATAGAGTATTACACTCGAAAGCACAGATGCTGGAAGTATAGGGCTGAGGAAGTCAAAAAATACTTGATGAATAGTCTTTGAACTTAAGAAACAATGAAGACACATCATGGGGCCATTAAGAACAGTAATCGGCTCCTGTAATCAACTCCACAGCAACACAGCTTTCTCCACCACTGGAGGAAAATGTCCGAGATGTTATCCCTGCGTTCTTGTGCAGCTCCAGCTTCCCCAGAAACACTGCTGTTGGCTGCAGACAGAACCCAGGCCTTGGCACACACACAGGACTATGAATGTTCCAGCAACTCTTTCCTTTCTTCTGCACCTGCCTCTTCAAAAGGCAGATGAGAGAAGGTATCTAGAACTTACTATAATGCACATACACTCACCTCCACACCATCTTAGACCCCCACTTCTTTGAGAACTCGTCTCAAAGGTACTGTCCTAGATGTTGCCAGATTTGTGCAGTAATACTGTTATGGCTTTAGAATGGTTACCAGAAAAATACAATACCAGGTAAAGGTTTCTCTAAACTCCCGGCAGTGGTATAAGCACACATTAAGAGAGACATTTTACTCCCACAAAACCAAACAAAAAACTGCAACTGATTTATTTTAGGTGATAACTGCACATTAGTATTCCCAGCAGGTCTCCTTGAGCAGTATTTGTGCGGTTTCTGAAAGCTTTGAGAAAAGCCTTTTAGAAGAGGACCTTTTATCTATTCATCATCACACTTGCCTCATGATTTATCTAGTGGGGCAGGGGGAGAGTCTAAATACAATATTGTTTTCTACAGAAACAAAACAACTCAGCCCAAAGAAAATTTCATCAGAAAAAGTATCTCACCTTTCTCTGCATCTTCATCACTAGCCATAGCTTCCCAGTCATCCAAACCCGCATCTTCTGTTTCTTCTTCTTCCTCCTTTTCTTCTGCAACTAAGAAATCCAACATTAAAGGAAAAGACAGAAACAGCCCAGCAACTTGCAACATTTTTAGATGCCCCTTCCTTTGACATACTGACAACTGCAGCTTACAATTTTGCTGCTACCATACTTGCACCAAATTATCCCCACGTTCCCTGCGCAGAAAACGTTGCATACTTAAGAAAAAGTCTCTCCACAAAGTCTTATTGCTAGCACCTTTGCCTAGCAAAACATTTTGGGAAGACATAGCTAAACTACTCATTTGGTTCCTGTCTGCTTATCAAGCAAATACCTGAATAATGCATGTCACACAAACCTACTGCAACCATGCTGCTTGAAAGGAGCTGCCCAATTAACAGTTAGCCACAGAGAACCAAGCAACAGGGAAACAAAAAAAACAAGTTGGGTTACAGTATTAATTTTAATTAGTGGGGAAAATAAAATGTCTATAAAAATTGCTATTTCAGGACTGCAGGTGCCTTACTATACCATGTATTCCAGAAGCATTAATTCATTCCAGCAGAAATTTGGTCAGATATATGAAGAGACTGCAGCTCTTCAAAACAGACAAATGAAAAATGCAAACTTTTAACCCTCTCCAGAAGAGGCATTAAACAATGTATATGTTGCAGCCCATGGAGTGTCAGGAAATTTCAGCTCTTTGAAATTAAGAGTAAGCTCCAGACTGCTAGAATATTAACTGGGAACTACTGTTCTGCCAGTGAGCCCTTCTCTTGTGTGGTAACAGAATTGCTTCTTTGAGACAGAAGTAAAGTGAGAATTACTCATTCAGCTTTGTTTTCAAAATTTTGTCAGTATTTGTCCATCTTAAGAATAAGTGTGAAAAACTGAAACAGCCTCCTTGCTGAAGGAGAATTCCAGTGCAATGGAATTTTGCTAAAACAAGTACTATGCACAGGCAAAAATTAAGGCACAAATCACTTGCTAGATGGCAGTTTCACAAGCTAACCTATATCCACTGCACTCAGCACTTGTCAATGCAAAACATTTGGAATCAAGAATATGATCAGTGTGAGTATTGCAGTATCAAGGCTGGAAGCAGTGTTTCCTCCCTGCCCCCAACCTCACCACTGACAAAACAGCCTTTTAGAAAGCAAATGAAAAGTCAAGGGAGCTAACCATAAAGGCACTAAATGTGCTTATTTGAGACAGCTGCCTAAGCCAGTTGAACACTGGAATTCACCCCAGATCAATGGACTTTACACTCTTATTTTGAGGCCTCACACCTTTTTATTCTATGAAATTCCATCAGTTCCTCAAGAAAAGAAAAAAACCCAACAACTACCTCAAGAAAGGAATGCCATTCAGCCCTCATCCAACAAGGCAGATACCCACCCTGCAGCACTGCCACAGTCTTACATGTTTTAAGCTCATTAGCATTACTACTGACCTGGCTCCACTGGAAGAGGAGTCTCCTCTTTTACCGGTGTTTCCAGTTCTACAGCATCTTCAGCTGGGGAAGTTACCTCCACGCTCTCTGAAATTGCAAGAAAGCAAACTGGTTATAGTCTTCCAAAGTGCAAACAACTCAGACATACAGGTTCACATTTAAATTCTGGTTTTACACTGCGCTGTTACAAGTAAACAATGCCTGAATTAACATAATCCCAAACTAACTGAGCTCCCACTAACTGAGCTAAAACAAAGTTGGAGCATGTGGCTTATCTGAAAAACATTTGTCTTTCTAGGCAGTTAGACTGATGTGAGAGGTCAGTTGTTGGCCAAGAGGATCACCATTGCTTTTAAAAATTTTAAAAAAAACTCACTTTCTTTAAAAGACAAGCGAAAATGAAAATTCTTGTGCTACCTCAAAAATTAATCAATAAAATTCAGATAAGCACCATTCTCATTCTTTACACATACTCCTTAAGTGGCAAGTATCCACAGATCTCTCCTATCAAATGTGAAAAATAAGCTAAATAACAAAAGAACTGATGCAAGGTCGTTTCGGGTTGTTTGGTGGGGTTTGTTTGTTTGTTGTTTGTTTTTTTAAATTAAGGAATAGTCTTGAGAAGATCCACAGTAATATCCCTACAGGAAACCCAGGAAGCACAAAAGTAAAAATAACTTCCAAAACATTCAGTCTACATCTTACTAGTGCAATAAATCCTAAGTGTTAAAAAATGCAAGCTCATACAGGCTCATAGCCTGGAAACTGAAAATGGGTTTTATATATAAGAAAACAAACAGATTGTCTGCAACTTAAAAGTACTAAAACTAGGAACAATCCCCTTTGATCCTGGAACTTCAACTTAGACTTAATTACAAGTCTTTATTACTTACAGTACATTGTATTTAACCTACATATGCATTTGACTTCACATTCATAAAAGGCCTTTATGTTCTGATCGTCTACAACATTCATAAATTCTAAAGAAAATAGCCAGGCTAGGAAAAACAGTCAACTAGACTGTAAAACAAAGGATTAAGGGAGCAGCCTTCAAAATGACTGGGATTCTAATGCATCAGCACTTGCAGGTGGGGCCAGGGGTGTCAAAAGAACCTCAGAGGCACCCTGAAGTGCAATTAAGTTTACTATTAGCTGAATTATTTCAAACACTTCCGGAAATGTGACTAATTTAGTAAGTATTCCTATACACAACCCACACCTTCTTTATTTTCTGGCTGCTGCTGCTTCTTTTTCTTTTTGTCTTCATATATTGGCCTCTTCTTTGGCACAGAGTCTTTGGATGGCACTTCAACACCTGCAAAAAAAGAAATTAAGATTAATTACTAAACATAAGCTTTGGTTTAAATGAGAATACATTTTCCAGAATTGTGAGGTGAAGGAAGGAGTGGAAAGTAGGTTCAATATCAACATTAATCTTTTTTAAATGTGTGATATTCAAAAGCTGCAGAGTTTGAGCAGAGTATAGTTCTTCAGATACCCTGGATGCTCTCAAGAAGTTAGATCACTAAAGGGGGAAGGAGTAGAATACTCAGACTGATCCTAAGACTCCAGGTCAGAAGCTACCACATACTTACATAGGATTTCATGTACATATGTAACTCCAGATTAACAAGTACATGTCAACTGAAGATCTGCTATGCTAAAACTCACTTAAAACCTGTCTGTCAGTCATAGTAGTTTCAGACAATCTGGAGCAGCTAAGAAGCACAGCTCTTAAAAGCTTAAGGCTGCTCAGTAAATCACATTTACCCTTTTGCTCAGTGTTGGAGTCTCATTTATTTGATTTTTTTTTTTTTTTTTTTTTTGCCGTGTTCAATTCATCAGCTTTGTCTTCTCAGAGAACAACACCACTGTAACATTAGAAGGGATTCAGTTGAAAAGATAAATTTGGTGCAAAGACAAATTAATAATTACTGCTGCACCTTCTGAAGCACTCAAGTTTCCTTCAGGTACCATGCAAACTACATGTAGATCTGAAAAAAATCCCTTTGCAGCAGCACACAGGTAGGATTCTAATAACTACAGCAACAACTGAAGAGAAATGGCCTTTGTGCATGGTTAAGAGCCCCAAACACTGCTAGCTACAGAGCTTCCTACACTTACACATCCATCTACCAGCACTGTCAGAGAGTGTGCTCCACAAATACAAGATAGATACCCAGCACTCAGGAACTCATTTCTTTCCTCAGCTCCAAACAAGTTACCAGGAACTAGTTAGGACATGGGTTACAATACATGGGACACACTTACTTCACTGGAATGAAAACAGATTGTATTTGCTGAAGCAGTAGGAAAGCTCCTATGTATCCTTTCCCTGAAGTAAATGCAAGAGGACATACCACTCCTGTGGGCTAGCCAACCCAAGACAAAACAATGCACTTGCTTCAGTGAGCACAGGAGTTAATCCAAGAGTATCCAGATCACTGGTCTTACAAGACCTGCAGCACAGCCCATCTGCTCTTCCTGGCCTTTGGACTAAACCATGGAAAGAAGTGTTTTTTCCTAAGTTCCATAACTAACATCTTTAAAACACACGTAGAATGTATTAGTAAGTTGGATATTCAAGGAGGAAGATGAAAATATACAGACATTTAACCTGCTTAAAAAAATAAATGGAGGGGAGGCCACACACACACACTGCCTTTCTTGACCACAGAGAAGTCTTACATGGAATTACTCAGCATTTGCCCTCTTAGTTCCAGATAGGGAACAAAACACCAAGCACAAGAGCAGTAAGAACTATGAATTATTATAATTTTAACTTTATTGCTTACCCTGAGCTTGGAGTAGCTTAAGAGTAGCCTCTGCTCGGGCTCTGGCTTCTCGCTGAGCTTTTGTTAAAAGTTTTCCCTCCTTCTTCAAACGCTCCTTCCTTTCTTTTTCCTTCTGTTTCTTTCTTTCTTTCCTCTCTTGCTCTAATCGTTCCTAGAAAAAGGTTAAAAAAAATGCAGAAAATCTAAAGCATGCTTTACATAAAAGCTGACCAAGCGTATGTTCTTTTGAGAAACATGCAAGGCTAACCCAGCAGCAGCAGGCAGATGCCACCCTCTCCCCTGTCCTATGCCCAGAGCAAGACACACGGTACCTCCTCTTTGCGCTTCGCTTCCAGCTCCTCCAGGCGCCTGATGCGTTCTTCCTCCTCTCTTTTGGCCCTTTCCTCCTCCTCTTTCATTTTAGCCAAGGCTTCTTGCATCGCTTTAACTGTGGCTTTACTGGGACCCTTTTTCTTCTCTTTCTCTTTTTCCTCTTTCTCACCTTTCTTTTTTTTCTTGTCTTTTTTCTTTTTGTCCCCCTCATCATCAGCTACAGAAAGAAGCAGCACATGGAAAATTTAAAAATACAATAAATACGAAGAGTACTCTAAATATAATTGTTTCAAATATGATAAATAACACTAAACTAGAAACATTTTGACTCACTACTACATAAGCACTTCATCATGAAAACAGAAAACCCTGAAGGACTCTTCAATAGCACTGTCTCTTAAGTTACAAAGTCAGTGGCTTTTGCTTTTCCATGTACCTGAGCAAACTACGGGCCAGGAAAAAAAAAAGCCACATGTGAGCCAGCACAGAGGCAGACAAGGCTAGCAACCCCCAGTGGTCCCCGTTCCCAATAAAGCAAGCCATCCTCACTGCCTGCCACCTCTCTGGCCTTCTGATAAAAGCTACAATGTTTAAATGAGTTTCAGAAACCAGGTTACAAACCCTCAGCTCCTGCAGGAGTCTCTCCTTTTTCACCAGAGATTGTTGCCACTTCAGAAGCCTTCTCTTCAGCTTTTTTTGCAGATTCCTTTAGCTTTGCTGGTTCTTTACCACCTTCTAATTCTTCCTTCTCTTTCTGCTTCCTCAGTTTGGCTTTTTCTTCCTCACGTTTTTTCCTTTCACGTTCTTTTTTTTCTGCCTTCTTCTGAGCCACTGTTTTTACTCTGAATGAAGGTTCTTCTTCATCATCCCCACTTTCAGCAGCAGGAGCTGACTTTGTTTTTTGGTTTTTCTTCTGTCCTTTTCTAGACTGGGAGACATCATCCGATTCATCACCACTCTCACCTGTGGACACTGCCCCTGCACGCTCTTTGCTTTTCTTAGTGTTAGTTTCATCATCTTCTGGCAAGTCATGCTTTTTATTCGACTTCTGAGTTTTCCCTTTGCTTTTCCTAAGCTGCGTCTCATGATCATCATCATCGCTGCCAGAAAGCATATCTTGTTTTGCTTTTTGAGTTTTTTTAGACTTTTTATCTTTATCTTCCACCTCCTCACTGTCATAGTCATTTTCCAGATTGGCTTTTTTACTCTTCCCTTTCCTTTTTTTATCTTGTTTTGATAAGTTTTCTTCATTGTCATTTTCAACCTGGTAATTAAAGAATTCAATAATCAGCCATGAAAAATTACTTGCTATTGTGAGCTAAGTAGTAGCATTAAGAGATATAAAGAAAAAAATTCTCTTCCTGAAGATGAAGTTTGAAAACAGTAACTAGTCTTGCTGAGTGCACTACACCTTAACCCACAACTAAAAATTATTCTGATTGACTTTGAATCAGGAACACACAGCTTCTCAGGAAATCTTTCACAATTCATTTCATTATGAAAATGTGATCACATAGAATTAAAAAAACATGCTGGTTGCACGTTTCACATAGGATTGCCAAATACACTGCAACACTAGAACTTTTCTGGCACAGAAGTTGTCTTGTATTTCCACCCTTTCCTGTTAAATAGCCCACCTCCCTCTCAGTGTTCACCTTTCCTGTAGAAGGTTCCCTGTCAACTTTCCCTCCTTGCGCCTCTATTGACAGTTCTTCCAGCTCCTTCAGGATATCATCTTCACTAAAATAAGAAAGAAGTTATGATATTTAAGTATCTGACCCATTGTATAATGGAATACAATAAGAAGAAAAAAAAAAAACCACCACACTCACTCAAAATCCTGTTTTTTCTTCTCTTTTTTCTTTTTGCCTTTGGATTTCTGAGGCTCTTGCTCCTTCGCAGCTCCTGCACCTTCTATCTCAGCAGCAAGGGCATCAATATCAATATCATCTTTTGCACTAAAATGCAGAAGGAAAACAAGGTTATGAAGAGTTCAAACTTTAAGTTCACACAAGCAGAAGCCATTTGCATACAAAAAAACTTCAAAATGGGAAATCAATCACAAAACATCAGCAATGCAGGGGCAAACCCCACATTTAACTAACCACTCTGCACCACAGTGCATTATTCCACCCAGCTGGATGAAAAGGAACCACCTTCACACAGCTGCTTGAAGGGAGCTGGAACAGTAAAACCTTCAGTTCTTCCAAGACTAACTTCAAAGGTTTTGATGTGATACACAACAAAACTTCTGGGAGGAATGTAACTAGACTGTTTTACTTTGTTCCTCTGAAAGATTAAATTGTTTTAGTCCTTCAAGTAGATGACACTGATAGAAAAGCAGCCTCCACAGTGGAAGCATAAATAGAAGAAATCTTGGTATTTTGTAACCAGGCAATTCTATTAAGGACTTATCTGCTCCTTTAAACACCTTTTCTAAAAGAAAAAAGCTACTGTATTTTTATATAGCAAATAAGTGAAAGTTCTTCACAGCTTTCAACTTACAATTACAGCTACATACATTTTGCCAGCAGACTGAAAAGTTTTCTTCTTCTCTTTCAAGAAAGAAGTCACATGGAAGAACACAGTTCAGCCCTGAGCCAGACTCTAAAGCAGTTCATAAAAAATACAACTACAGTTGGCAAGCAATCATTTCCACACTTGGCTTAGTACCACCACTCCCAGGCCTAAAGAAAGCCAGACGAAGTTGCACTGGGCATCTGAAGTATGCATCCTTCCTTAGGAGATCTCCTTAGATCAAGTTTCTCTTCTAAGGCATTTTCTTTTCTTGTTATAAATACCCTCTCATCTGCAACTAAGCAGAAGTGGGTTTTTCCCTGTCTTTTATCAATAGCTGTATTATATGTGCTTTTTTCTTGACTCTTACACAGGAACTGAGCAAAGACTGACTCCAGTATCCAGAGGTTTTTCCCTCTAATCACACCCACAGTACAACTGTAAAAAAGGAAACTTACCTGTTCCCTACCTCACACTTAGAACTTCAGTATTCCAGCCAAAGCTGGCCTATTAAAGCAGCAAACATTAGGATGCTACTTTTAACACAGCCTGCAGTTATAAAAGCCATTTGATCAACATGCTATTAATGTCTCATCTAAGTCCCTCCTAGATATGTGAGCACAAAACTCTGTTGTTTCAGTTTCACCATCTCAGTCATTACTACCCACTTTGGACAAATCAGCCAAAGGCTGACCCACCAACTACCCAAATCTATATCCAGAAAAGAAGGGAAATAAGTTTCTTCCCAAATTCAGGACCTCCAAATTATCAACCAATTCTAACCTGCCAGAGCTTCAGCCTTGCCAAACCCAAAAGTTGAATACTAATAACAAAAATCAAGAATATTTGCCTTTAAAGATTCTGAAATGTCTATAAGTCTACATTTTATTTCCCTTTGTAAAAGGAGAGGCCTGATAGAATAATTTTACAAGCGTAAGCAAATGCTGACTTTCACAAACACATTTTATCCCAAGTAACAGGCATAAGCAAGTCACCAAACACTGTCTATATGTGACAACAGCAAGAGTAAGGAATCATGCACACTTTTTAAAGCCAAGATTGATTATTTGTATTTTTAAGACCTTAAATTTTCATCTCTATAAACTGCACAAACCAAATGAAAAAGCAGTGCAATGAAGCACTTCACTGTACAGCATCTTTATTACTAGATACTTACTTCTAGTCAAGAGAAGAAAAAACACACCTGGTAGTACTTTTTATGTGCTGACATGGTAAGTGACACATTTCTCAAAAAAATATAACTCAAATAGTTAATGCAAGACTTCTAAACCAATCCCTACCACTCCCAGGAGGACAGAATAAACTTTTTGGTCATTTCCACCTTAAGGATTTGGTGTTTCTGCCATTTTAAGAGCTGTTTTTATAAGCCGTTTAATCAGCTGTGAACCAGTGGTAGCACAGACAGCTGAAATAAAAATGTCAACACTCATCTCCACACCTAGAGTTAAAGCCTAAGATCAGGCACACTATATGACATCTATGCCCACACATACACACTCAATTTTTTTTGCATTAGATACAGCACATCAGTTTATGGACTATACTTGATTACCTCCTTCTACTCTAGGAGTTAATGGAGAAGACAGAGTCAAATCCAAGCTCAAAATAGTTTGGAGAGACCAATATATAAGTTCCACTACTTCCTCCATGGCTGTGCTGCTCCCACTACAAGGTCTTAACCATATGCTTGAACAGGTATTAAAGAGCCAAGCATTTAAACAGCTTTTATTTTACATGGATATTCTCAAGGCTGACTTTTCACATTGCAACTCTGCAGAACGTTATGTCCAAACAAACCAGGTGTTTTCTACGCTCCTGGCAAAGAGGATGCTTATAGTACCTCATGTTTTCCCGGGTACAGGCTTTAAGGGAGTAGGAGTTTATTTGGTTTTAAATCAACTCACTTCAAATGAACCTTGAAGAAGAAAACTTGTGGGAGAAATTCCTTTCGAACCTTGGTTTCCACTGCTTAACAGTTAATAGTTTCCATGAATTCTATACTTGTCTCTACATTTCCATTTACTAAGATGTGACAGAGGAGGCTTCAAATATTTGAGCCTTGATGAAGTAAAAAGTACAGTTAAGGCTGCATGCACTTTATATATACAGTTATTCTTCTTAAGAACTGTAAAGTGAGAATATATTTGAAAAGCCAAAGAATTAAAATACTGGCATCCATTATTAAGAGTTTGTTCCCATACTGGCCTTGAATTTCCTTACATTCTAAAACTCTAATATTCCACTAGGATTTCATAATAAAAGAAAGTTGAAAAGAAGGCTCAAAAGGTGCCCATCCTCTCTTCCTGAGAGATCAGGTCAAGGATTTCATAAGGAACCCACTGCACTTAAGATACGTAACAGGAGAACCTCTTTCCGATTGGCATTGGAAGATACACCTAGGATCTTTCTCCTGTAAACTTCTTTAAGCAGCCCCCAAACACATTTCAGAAACCCAAACACTCTTGCAGGAACCTCCTCCTGCAAGTCCTGCAGAAGATCTCCACACAGCCTCTCCTGCCCCTCCATTCAGCCTTTACAAGGCTGATAACCCCAACCGTGCCTGACAGGCATCTGCATGCTCAGTTTTCAGTTCTGACTTAGAACTGCTTTCACATGAAGACTTCATATGCAGACTCCACAGCCTTGCTACCTCAGGCCACTCAAGCTCATAATGCTTTGGACTCAAAGGAGGCTTGCTGTTGATTGGGTTCACACACCCAGATAGCCCCGTGTTTCCCCAGCACAAGAGGCTCAAGTCCATCTGGAAAGTGTGAAACTGAAAGCCCAGTGCTACTGCACTGCCAAGAAGGGGGTAATTCCCCTGACTTTATTTCATTTCCCCTTCAGCAGTGAAGCCTGAGCCACCTTTCTTATTCACATACTTTTGATTCCAGCCTCTACGTTTGTTGCCAGATATGAAAGGAATTCTGATATTGCTGAAACAGCATTTCAGTGCCATAAATTACAGCAACAGTTAGGTGTGTGGACTTCACTCAAACCTAAACAAGCAATTTTCAAAACATTAAAAGGCTGCAGGCATTCTTCCCTGGAGGTCTCTGCCAAATATTGGGGCAAAACTATGCAGCAGAAGACACCAGTCAGGCTAATTAAAGGAGATTACAGTAATCAATAACAAATATGACAAATATTGTTTAACTGATAAAAAAAAAAGCGTGCTACATTTCCCTTACACAATTTCACTACCTTTTGCTATTTAAGCAGGTTTACAGCAATATAAGACGTCAAAATACTTCAAAGCATTTTAAAAGTAGCATATAGAAACATTCACATATTTTATACTGGAAAATATTGACCTTACTGCCTTGGAAACGACATTAAGAAATCGCCTGGTGCCAAAGGGTTCAGGTACAGGTTGTCCACAGACTGCTGCAAACCTGGACTACATGGAAGAAGCTGCTTATGAACAGATTCACACATCTTCCCTGGGTCACTAGTTAGAGGCTGTGCTAGCACAACACTCCCAGTATCTAGCTGGAAATTTTTAAGACTGGCATGGGCAACAAAGGAAATTCAACAACATCTCTCATGCAATCAAAACATCAAACCAATCCAGTACCAGAAAGTGACACTCCAAAACACAACCTAAGCTACTTGTGTTACATGTTAAACAAAACCAGTGACAAATGAAGCTATAATCCCAAATCCTGTCTCTAAGAGAAAATATGAAACATTCCCAGTGTGAAGTAAAGCAGAGTTAGGAAATAAATGAGGAGCTGTCACCTACCGCTGCTCAGTCAGATGTAAAAAGATGGCCAGTAGCTCTCCTACTTATAAGGTCCCACAGAGTTGCAAGCTATTGAGTCAGAAAAGTGGAAAAACCTCATGACTGAAAGATGCATGGTCTGCAGAAAAACACTGCAGTTTTCTCTTGCTAGTACAGCAAGGAAAAAATACTTAAGACTACAATTCCAGCTAAAAAAAAAAAAAGACACAAAACAAAAACCAATCAAACCCTCAGCTATTACACAGCATCTTAAAAAAAAAAAAAAAAAACAAACAAAAACACACTAAAATAAAAAATACCTTAAGGTGTTGGGTGGGCTTTTGTTTTCTTTTTTTCAGGGGAGGTAGTGGTTGTGGTGTGGGGGGGTGTGTTAAAACACTGGAAACAACCACAGTTTTGGAGCAAGTCCTTTTTCTGATGCAATGACATGCAACAGCCAGCACTTAAATTCCCTGTGGAAGGCACCGTAATGTTAGAGTTCACCATACAATGGGCTCTGAATTACACATACTCAACTTTATGTTAATCCTAGCTTCCAGATACCAGGGTTTGCTTTAGTCTTTTAAGGGCATGCCTTTGTCATTTTGCTCACAAACACTTAAATTGTGAAGTTCCACAGTTTCTAACATTTGTGAACAATTAGCGAGATGCATTTTCGAATTTTGAAGTTTGAAG